ATACAAAAGAATTTTTAGCTATCACCTTACCCTCATTTCCACAATACACCTTAAACACCCCTCACGACACTAACGAAACACGTAACTTTGTAGACGAACACGTTTTAATGCCTACCCTTCCTTGGACCTCATATTATCATTTTACTAATCCCCTTTGCTTACCTTTATTTAACACTCACATCGATATAGAACGAAATAATGACATGCTATATCGACTCACTACACCACTAACACCTAGACAATTTACTTACATCGGATATAAGAAATCACTAAAAACATACACTGCACCCCGAGCTAACGAATATACGCTAGAATATTACGATCATAACATCATCAGAACTAACCAAGATCAATTCTTAGACGATGACCGCTTCGCTAACCCACAAATCACAGAAAAATTTTTCATTAAAACACCATATGTATTTACACTCAATATCTTTGATCGCAAATTTGACCACATCATCTCAGAAGCACTAATAGACACGCAAGCCTACGAAATTTTTAAAGAACGCTTCCAAATATTTTCACTAACCTTTCATTTCCTTGCACCACATGAAAGAGATCTGCACTGCTCACACGATATTATGTTGCGCACTAAACAAACTCACACATATACATATTATCGTTTTATCCAAAATCACTTCGAACTACACACTCCCTCCAGACAACCACTCCACCGTTTCCAATTCATCAATTCCAAATACACCTCACCATTCTTTCTTAACTTCACATATTGCATTAAAGATACTAACCTTCATGGTATTCTTCGAAATTATGATCCCATAACCCAAATGTATATTTTTTGTCCCATCACCAAGACCTTCAACGCAGAAGAATCCCGACCGTTCCTTCTCCCACACGAATTTGTTCAACCTATAGAAATCCCCATTTTAGAATTCATCCACAACACTAAATTCAATCACAAATTATATAATCTAATCCAAAACACACCTTATGAGTTTGCAGTTGGCACTGAAGAACTAACCACCATTAAAGCACTTCAATGCTTTCGCCACTGCTTCAAACTAAAAATATCATCCGCATCTTAGCTAAATTACTAACAACTTCAGATCTCATCCACGACATCTTCCCCCACGGTTTCTTCCCCGACGACTAACAGGTAAATATGAATTATACATATTATTAACTAATTAAATTAAAATTAGAAACTAACCATTCTTTATTCATGTCTTCTTTAGAATTTTAGCCTTCATCCAACGATCATCTGAAAAATTCACAAAAGAAAATAAAAATTGAAAACTTCTTCATACTGTTAAAAACTCTATTAATTTTTTGCACCAAACAATTAAATAAAAATAATACCAATGCAGTAATTTAATTTATAAATTTTTTCCCAAATGCAGTAAATCTAATAATGATGAAAATTTGTAACTTAATTTTCCCCAACAACTAGCAGTAAATTTGCATTTCTATGTAATAAATTGATAAAACGAAAATGCAGTACTAACCTTTTGATATTTCCATTCATTCGCACAAAGATTCTATCCACACTCGCACAGCTCGCCCACGAAGAATTGTTTAAAATAATGAATTTCAGTTTCAAGCTTTCACAAACAACAGCTCTAACACAAGATAACACGTTTCAAACTTTCCTTTAACCCGGTTGGAAAGGAATTATATACTAAACAACACTAACCAACGCAGCTTACTAAACACCACAAATCATAGAATAACAGCATGACTAAGAAAAGGAAACCAACGGTACCCAAACCGGATTAACCCAGTTTAAAACTGGATAATTTATTCTTTTGAAGACTATTATAAAGTCTAAGAAAGAAATAATAAAACACAAAAAAAGTCGAAAGACAAACCCATACCAAAAACAATTTGATTTTTGAAAAAAGGACACAACCAACAAAACATAAGAAAAACCACAACAAACCCAACATAAAACGTTGTCACATAACAGGACCCCTCACAAAAACCGCATGCAATCATACTCCCACTCCTGGCCTAACCCACCAGAAGAGGACGTCCTGAGCATGCTCTATAGCCGGCCTAACCCACCGCGCTACATCCACGCTTTGTGACACACACTCCTATTTTTAATAAGAGCTACTCAAGGGTGAGTAACTCTTCAAAATAACTGAACTAAAACAAAAAGCTTTTGTGAAAACAACTAACCAAAATCATAACTAAAACATTAAACTAATAAAAATTTTATAAAATGTAAATTATATCTTGCAGTATATAGATCAGCATACAACACCAAAGACGAACATCCAAAGACAAGATGACCCCACTACACTCGAAAAAGATTGGCCAACCACAATCAATATGCCGCCCACAATCACAACTCAAAGGATTTAGAGTACGACTTGACTTCGCAGAAAAGGACTTCATTGAACTAGACCAATGACCACCTCGATGTTCAAGTATACGTACAGATCCGAGTAACCAGGCATCCCCTCCACACACAATCTCCACGCCATTCCCAGACAAGGTCAAACACAAAAGAAGTTCTCTACATGAAACGGAAAAACCTGTCATAGCCAACCATTCTGAAATCAGATTTGAGTTTGTTGCGAAAACCCAGTCGTTGTCTTGAGAAGACACAACGATTGAATCTGGGACTTCTCTAATAAGAAAACCCAGAAGAAATAAGATGTTCGCCAAATACCAACGTCCATCATCCATCCTTTGAATTGCAGAAAGACTATTCTAAAAAACTCTGTAAAACCCGGATGGGTGGAACCTGATCTAAACTACATTTTATGATTGGATAAATTAGATATTTTACCACTGTAAAGTATTTAATATTAACCAATCATGATCCATCTAACTAACAACCCACTTATTTGTAAGTTCTGAAATTACTTGTAATTTCAGCACCAGAGAGATTTGAATTTAACTTAGAAATTAGTTGACTCTCCAAGAAGACTTCAGCAGCCGCAATAAACCAGTATACCCTAGATCTATTGAGCCTAGCAGAGACTAGTTAAACAACCTGAGACTAGATAGTATAAGAGTAAGATTAGGATCGGTATTAGACTAAGAAGTTGCACGAATCTATCCGGCCGAAAATAAGATAGCGTGACGAGCAGACGGTGTACCCTATCCGAAATTACTCTATAAGTTATACACTTCGGTCCTAACACAGCTGGTTGTGGAATCTACAAATTACATCCGTACTGATTGCCTCGTACTGACTGCAGTTATTTTTTTTTACAAGTTATACAATTGTTCTTTTCTCTCGGCCTCAAGAAAATGTATCCGGAAATTCCTAACGCTTCTTAAAACAGCGGCGAACAGTTTTATTCTGATATAATAAACGAAATTTGTAAAAGTCATTAGTGCTGTTTGATTTTGACCGGAAAGTTTGTACCAAAGTTTATTCTGTTTTTTATCAAAGTTAACAAAACTTGTGATCAAAACTGTAGTTTTAGCCGGGATTCGGTTTTTCGATTATTCCTTTTCATGGATCTTTTTCCAGTTATTCCACTTTACTCAAATATAGTTTTTCATCAAAAACATTTTTCTTTAGTAGGTCAAATTCCAAAATTACCGGCCCGTTTTGTGAAGTAAAATCAACATACTTTCCGAAGATTGCATGATTACGAACATTTCTAGCTGTTTTCAACTTTCCTCCTCATTTGAATAACTAATTTACCCTGTTATAGTGAAATTAAATTTTGCTTGGTGACCAAATAACTATGTTGGAAAACTTTTTTTTTACCTTGCATCGTAACTTCACTCATTCAGACATAATAACTCATAAGACAACTGAGAAATTGAAAAATTTGAAAAATATGGGAAGTGGGAAAGAGCCACATTTTTAAACCGCGTCAAAGCGAATATGCTTTTGTTGAACTTTTTCAAGCACAATTTGTTTGTAAACTAAAAAAATTTTAAAAAAATTGCAGTTTGCTGTGCTAGTTTTAGAGATGGCTCATAATACAAAAAAAATACAAACTTTTAAAAAATCTTAAAATGTTTTTTCTCTCTAAAAAGTAACACTTTTTTATGAAACAGAAATGGATTTAAATTAAGCTCCAGTTTTCCAAAATACAATACATAAATACTATTTAAGCTAAAAGATTTGACTATGATTGTAGGGGATGAGAGCTATTTTCACTAACCCGCTGACATCAGAAAAAACAATTGTGCTAGACTTTCTCGGCACGACTTGATAATGATACTACATTTTCTTCTCCGGATACTTCATCATAACAACTAAAAGCTATGCGGAAAAAACATCATAAATTGTCGATCTTTTTAATCTTTAGGAATTGTCAGAAAAGAAACTTTGAAACTTTATTTTTTTAAAGAACCAGCAGTCACGGAGAAATGCAAAAGTCAATTACGAAACAATTCTTGGCTTGTCTATAATGCAATTTACTTTCAAAAACACCCGTTTAATTTTTTAGTTGAGACGTGTCTTCAGTGTTTTTTTGATTAGTTTCAACTGCCCCGAATAGGTATGTATAATGGTCCAGAACAACAACGCAACAGTATTGCATATTTTTCAGGGCCAACGAAATTGATTTTCTAAGCTCTCCCAAAACAATATAAAGGTTTTTTTTCGCCATTCAAATGAAGAATTTTTAAGACGTTTTTTGTAAGTTTTTGACTGCAAATAGGTTTCAAGTTTCCACAAAGCTTTATCAAGATCTAATTTTTGTTATTTTGAAGGCTAGCAAAAGTTTAAAGAAACAGTTTTAACGAAATAATTTTTCGTTTTTTGGATACTTCCAACATTTTTAGTTTTTCGGATGTTTGGTATTTATCATTTGCACGATATCCTTCTTCTTATTGTGAACATTTTAAACCGTTTTTCACGAGATAATACGCTTCTCTGAAGCTCAGATTTGTTTGAAAAGCGCCTTTAGAGATACATTATCCAAAATTTATTCACCAGTGTGAAAAATTTTGACGCCAACGTTGAAAACTTTGATGCGTTTCCAAGATTTTCATTGAAATTGAAACAAGATGAAACTTTCAAGTGGTTTAATCTGTGGAAAATCAAAAGCTAAGCTTACCAAGATCGGGAAGGAATATTTTGACGAAGTTACAAGAACGTGACATCGGCTAAAAGAAAGGATTGAGGTTTTTTGTTCCAGTGCAAGCTCAGAATCCAGATTATGAATAATATTAATTTTCAAGGCAGATGTACAATATAAATTGTACCTTATGTGTGCCGGTTTATTTGCTTCATCACAGTTTAAAGATTGAAAAACGATTGAAAAGATTAATCGGATTAAACAACGTATGCTTGGGACTTGTACAAAAACATTAAAAATTGATAGTCCAAAGAAAAAATGAACAGGAGGAAAAAATTCTGATGAAGTTTGGACTAACGGAAATTTTAATGCTCATTTCTAAATTTTCTTCATTTGAAAATCATTATAATTAATGAAAATTGTTTTAAAATTTTTCGTGCAAGTTGTGCAAATACATTAACAAAACGTATTTAAAAAGGTAGTTCAAACTCGATTTAGGCATTTTAGTGGAGCATTTTTCCATGAATCAGAAATTTTTTATTTCTTTTTAGTTTTACTCTTTATTTTTGTGTTTTGTCTCAAAACACAATAATTAGGGACTTTCTGATTCAAGAAACCCCATTGGCTGAGGGGAAGAAATCTCGCAGATACTCGTATTTGGGCAGTAATTGTTTGAGAAAGCATTTTTAGTTCACTCAGAACTGTGAAAAAAACTTTGAAATTTGTTTTTGGCCAGAAAGCTTTTAGTTTTACTTGACAAAATTTTAATTGGCAAAACGGGTGGCCTATTTTTTTTTGACAAATTGAAGTAAATCTTACAAAAAAAGGCATCCAAAATTTCAAGTTTCGATTTGCACAAGAAAACATGAGTGTATTTTCTTTCTTTTGTATAAGAAACTCAGCATAACTACGTTACGGACAAAAATAACATTTTTTGCAGCAATTTTTTTCGAAAACTGCTTACGTGAGCATGAAAACTACATTGCGACTAAAAGTCGAGAAAACATACTTCCCTGATATTTGGAATTTTTGTTTCGGAATCTTTTTTTGTGCAGCAATGTAAAAATTGCTTATTACAGAACTTTCATCTGTGGAAATTGTATGATAAACGTTTTTTTCCGCACATTTAATAAAACAATTTTTGTGACAAGCGTTTTCGTTGCCTGGAACTGTATGACAAGTAATTTTGTAAATGGCGGTCAACCCGGGTTAGTAAGTACTAAATCTCAAAAAATTAATGGTTCTCAAGACGAGTTAACTTGTAATCAGGTAATCAAGTAATCTTTGAAAGTTTTCTAAAGCTTTTAAGGCCGACAAATTGATTGTTCGAGGTCTCTAAAAGCGCTATAATGTATTTTAATTCGCCGCAGGCTAAACTTTGATAAAAAAGTGCTGTTTGACAATAATAAATAACTTTCTTCCCTTTAAAATAGTACGTTTACGGGTCTGCCGATAAAAGATGTAAACAGTTAGTAGCCAATAGGGACCCTTTGGGCGCTGAGGATGTCTCAGCCGAACATTTTTTATAGTCCCTGACTTATGATTGGGCAAAATTTTGGAGGGTATAGTCCGGTCATAACTTGTTTCAAATCAAACGCAGTGAGATTCTGATTGAATTTCTGACAAAAAGACCATAGTAATCTTTGTAAATTTTGTAGACCTGGTTTAAGGTCGACCAGATTGATTGTTCGGGAAATAAAAATTCTGTGTTTATTTAAATATGAGGAAGTTCATATTTGATGCCAAAAATCATTGATTATAATCCATTAAAGATGGATTTTAATCCCATTTTTATTTGGGTCAATATAATCCAATATTAACGATTATAATCGATCATAATGGATTATTTTGAGAAATTTTTGATAAAACTCACAAATTTGTTTTAAAATTATCTCATTTCCTGTTAAATGCAGTTGCTGCAAATTACGTTTTGTAACCTTTTAATTTTCACAGTAAATTTCATACTTTTTTCTCAATTTTTTAAACACATTTTATTTAATTTCTTACTTATGTTCGTTTTTTTTGCAAATTAATATACCGACTCTATTCAATTTATGGTCTAATCATAAATTGCGATTGTCTGCCCGGGCTGGGCTGGACTACCCCCCAATCCAGTTTACTCCTCCATCTCCCCCACTCCAGTTTACACTCCCCTCCATTTCAGTTTAACCCCACCCCACTCCAATTTACTTGGGATGGGGGGTAAGAAATTGGGAGGGCGTTAACCTTGGGCGCAAAAAATTTCGGCGCGGTAAACTGGGGCTGGAGGGGTTATAAACTGGGCGGTAAAAAACTAAAACTGGCGAGGGGAGTAAGCGTGGTTGAGGGGTGACTTAACGTTGGGGAGGGGTTGATTAAACAAGGAGGGTTTCCCAAATTTTTAAGCTCGAGGGGAGGGAGATTGAACAAATAAATATCTCATTTGATATAAGCACACATATTCGGAGATATTGAGTGGAAAATTTTGTAAAACTTTTTTTTTCTTTTTTTTTTCGTTTTTGTAGTAGTTTTTCTACAAAAAAGCGTTTTTCAATTTGCTTAATTTATGATTTTCAAATATGTCTAATCTCTAGTTTTTTGTTCAGCTGCTTTTATCACACCACGCCAAAAAACGACAATGAACTGAAACAACTTTTTTGTTGTAATTTTTTAAGACTATGATCGGAACATTTTGTGCTATTTGTTTTAAAACTATTTTTGTTTTCCTAGGCTCAGAGTCGAAAAGTTTTCAAAAACAAACAGCGCAGAAACCGTTTTATTTTAAAATAAAGTTTCAGGGCTCAATGTTAACTCTTCGAAAGGTCTAAAAAAATATTTCAAAACGCAAAATAAGAAGATTTTATTAAATTTGAGTTGCACCTGAATTCCCAATTGAAGAAAAGTTTTAAATTCTGGACACACTGTATCAGTTGCAGTTGACGATTTTGCGTGGAACAAGATACCGAAGCCTTCTTTGACCTCGCTGGTGTGAACAAAAAAGTTTCGTCTATTTAGAAGAAGATAAAATGTCACATGACGATTTGTAGACTTAGATTAGGATTGAACAAAATTGTTTTATTGAGTTTTGACCCATTCTATTGAGATTTTTAAATTATCTAGATGTCTTAACGGTCATCGAAATCAAGTTATAACAAAAAGTTATAGACAAAACCAGTTTTGGCTAATTTATGGGGCCTTTATTCTTAGAAATTCTTCGTCCTCACCGCACAAAGGTTCCCGTTTTGGTACTAGTTTACGGCATCTCATTCAATTTTGGCTGACCGATCCTTAAATTTTTGTGAGAACGTCTTCAAAACTAATAAGTACTACAAAAGGACTGGCGCCAAAAAACAATGTTTTATGCCAAAACCTTTTCAAATTTTGCCTAAATGATCGTTTTTGGCCTGTTTTACCAACAGTTTAACGGAGGCGTTCTGGGGCACTAAGTTTTTTTCACTACTAAGGCACAGAAGTTTATCTGGGTCACTAAAGGGTCTTCTGAATTTTCTACTCGTAAAATTGAACTGATTGATCTAAAAAAAATCAGAAATAGATGAATTATCAAATTTTTAATCAATTTTGAAAATCCGCTCCCCTCGGTAAAATCTTAGATCCACCCCTCGACTAAACAACAAGCTACCAGGCTGTATAATCGTTTGCCTGGTTTTCAGCTGAAAAATGGCCAAAATCAACTATCTCGTTGTCTGATAAACTCAAAAAACAATTCAAATCCTTGTTTTGTTATTAGCGATCTCTGTTGTTTCTGCAATTGCAAGAAGAAAACGACGATTTTGACTTTTTTACTTTATTCAGATGCGCGTGAAAACGCAAAAAATCAACGCACACAAATTTCTCTGCACATTTTAAAGCAAAATTGGTTACTTGCTGTTGGAAGAGCAAGTTTTGTATATATTGATGTATGCTTTTATGTATGTATGTATGCATGTATGTATGTATATAGGTATACAGGAGTGGGTGTAGACCTTTCTCAAAAGAGCGAGCTAATTCTCGAAAAGAATCAATAGTCTCAACAAATTATTTAGATCGGCATACTGATTTTTTTCGAGTTCTCAAAGAAATTCTATAAGACTCTATTTTAACTGTTACGTCAAAATTGCTTTTTATAGACAGTTTTTCACAAAAAATGCATTTATGTATGTATGAGTGTATGTATGAATGCATGCAAGTATCTTTCTTCCACTCTAATCTTCGGTATTACCCCCCCCCCCAACTCCCACACACATACACACACAAAAAATAGGGACAAACATTGGGGGCGGCGCAGGGGCAATGGGGGCAAACTTGTACTTTCATTTTCTTAAATGAAAAATCACCGCATTACTCATTTGATAAATGCTGAAATTTTTGCAAAATTTTGCACGACTCGAAACAAAAAACACTGAAGTTTGTTTTTCTGAATAAGATTGATTGCTAAATTTGATAAAAATCGATTGTAATTTTTAGTTCTGTTTTGTTTTTAGGAGCAACATGAGAACCACTTTTTGTCATCATTTTAGACCGCAATAATCTTTTATATTTAATTTTTACTCTTTATTTGCGGGCACTTATTCACATGCTGCAAATTTTTTTAAAAAAACTTGATTGAAAACTCAAGTCTAGACCTCCTAAAACTACTTCTAATTATACAGAGTTTAAGCTAAGACAAAAAAGTTCGGAATCTACAGCTGAAGCTAAGAAACTATTGACGCTCAGTCATATTTTCAAATTTCAAGTTTTTTTAAACAAAAATGCAATTTTCAATAAATAGTTTTTCGAGTTTATAATAAAAAAAGCATGAGACTAACTTGAGATGCGTGTGATTATTCAGGATATAAAATAGCTCGCTCTGCTCGCAAATATTCTAAACTTCTATGTTTTTTTTACTTTGGCAGTTTTTGATGAGTTTTTTTGGTCTAATATATAAGACTATGGTTTTTCAATACTTTGGTTGGAGCAGAAACAATCTGTTCAGAAAAAATTTTCGTCAGCAAAATGCAATCAGGAACAATCATTTGAGGAGTTTTCCTTGCCATGAAACTAAATGTTTCAGAGGGAACGCTTTTTTCGATATTTAAAGATTTTTGTGGAAAAACAAGTAAACTTTACTGAAAACTCCTCAAATATCAGTTTTCAGACCAACAGATTCCGTAAAGATTTGTAAGTAACAACGAAAAATTAAGTTTTTAAAAATTAGTTTTCAATTTTTAAAAATTTAGAATGTTGCTGATTCTTATAATTTACTTTCAGTACAAGCAGCTTAATAAAAATCATCTGAAAAGCAAGCGTTCTAAATTTTTGTCTGTTTTCTCGTGTTATTTGATAGTCAGAAGAAAGGTCGAGCACAGTCAAAAATTGGCCGAGAACAGTCAAAACAAAGGTCAAGTACAGTCAAAACTTAAGTCAAGCGCAGTCGAAACATAGGTTGAGAACAGTCAAGACATATCCAATTTCATCGCAAAATAAGACGGTCGAATGAAAGTTTTAGTCAAACAAAGTCGAACATATGGTCAAACAGGGCCAAACCTTGAGTCAATAGAGTCGAATAAGATCGAATCATGCGTCAAACAGGGTCGAAACATGGGTCAAACAAGTTTAATATGGGCAAATTAAGCCTAGTCAAAATCATTCCAAAGTTTTTTGAGACCTGCTACGTGCTTATCCTTACGCTATTAGATGCTCAGTTTATCTTTTTGCTTTTTGTTTTGCCCGTAGGGGAATGATTTTGTTCCGAACTTATCCACAATTTCTCCGAATCGATAACTACGTCAAAGTCTCTAAATTGCGTTACACTCAGGGCTTTGTCCTGATACCAAAAGGAATTTTTTTGTCTGTCGAGAAAGTTGAGGCAGTCCAAATATGCCCAGTCAAAATTTGGTCGAGACGGTCGAAACATACCGTTTTTTGCGTCTGTTTTCAAACTGACATTAGAAAAAGTATACATGAATTAAGTGAAAAATTAATTAGGATGATTTCATGATAAAGTTTAAATGCTTGATTATAAATTTTCGAACTTATAGCACCCATTGCAGTTTTCAGTTATAGAACAATATTATAAAATTAAACATTTCAAAATTTGATCAAAAATCAGAACTCGAAATTACATAAAAGCAATTGGTCGCACTTCGCAATTACACTAAAGGTTACAATTTTATGATGAAACTTGGTCAAACAATTTAGACATAACTTTCTCTTTCTGGGTTTGAAAAAGTCGGACTCGGGTCGTCTCTGAAAAGTGTCGTAGCTTGTGGGTAACTAGCAGCATACGGATCGCCTCTTTGAAATCGATCCGAATTCGTGTCGGGATTCAAACCCGAACTGACGCTACTGCCGAACGATCCTTGGGTGTTTAAACACGCGACTGCTTGCTTGATTTCGCGAGTTTCGCCAAAAATAACGGCGCCATTTGCAACTGCAGAACGAACATCATTCATAGAGTTGAACTTATCCGAATCGTGATTGGAGTAAACAGGATTTCGAGTTAGAGTTCCATTCGTATTTGGGTATTTGCCGTTTCGGCTTGGCGACATTTTCGGACTATTGGGGGAAATTGATGGGCTATTACAAGTTGCACCGAAATGCATTGTAATTTTGTTCCCGTTTCCGTTGCTAAGCAACGTTCCAGCATCTGAATAGGTCAATTTGGCATTTGCCAACGGAACAGGTTTTGGGTTATTTTGAGAAGGTGCCCAAAAATAATGCCAAGCGTATCGCGCGTCGTCGCTTAACAAGCACAAAGTCGAGAATAGCAACATGCTTTGAATTACGTTTCCGAAACAAAACGCGAAATCGAAAATGTAGATTTGCGATGGGTCGAAAATTAGTTGGTTAATAACCCAGTTAAATACAAATACACCCATGGTTATAAGGACTAAAATGGTTTGGGACGCAGATGCTTTGCTTGTATTTGTTAAGTAAGAAGCGTTGTTCGGGGACAGTGTTTGGGACTGGGTGTAAGTTCTCGTGGCGTTTCCAGATCCGAATTTGAAAATATGCAGAATATAAAGAATCGAAGCGACAGCTAGAAAGACTATAGTTGGCAGAAGGAGAAGGGAGTAAAACGTGTATTGTTGTTCGGGAGTGATGCGGCAGCTAAAAATAAAGAATTTTTTGTTAAAGGCAGCAAAAAAAGTCAGAGTTATGGTGCCAAAAACGGCCGGTAGAGTTGATTGTCGTGCATAAAACTTTAAGATCAGAACAAAGAAAATGGAAATTAGAAAGTTCGAACCGTTTATAAATTTATGAAAGGCTGCATAAAGGAGCTTGAAAATAATTGAATTTATTCTTATCTTATAGCGATAATATATTTTTAGACGTAAGTTTTTATATTACTTTTTATACTTTTATATAAGTATCCCAAGCAGGCGCAGATTGGGGTTTTTCTCGAGAGGGCGGACTAGGGCTTTCAAAAAATTTTGAATCATTTCTCGACTTCTATTGGTCGACCAATTCTATATTTCCAGCTCTTTCAGAACACTTTAGGCCTTAATTCGTCAAAATTGTTGACACCGTATGCTTGTTGACAATGGTTTGCTGACATACTTTTCGAAAAGTTTTGACCAAAAATTGCACCGAACCTGCGCACTTTTCTAAATCCGTTTCTGATGGCAAATAAAATTTTCACTGAAAAGGAAATATTGGCCTTTTGGAGTCCTCTTATCAATTGTCATGTAAAGTCAATATTTATATTTCAAACTTGGTTTTTTTCTTTTGGATTTTAGAGAATTTCAGTTCCTCCATTGATCTCAATACTCACTACGTGTCTGAAATAGAAGTGAGTCCCATTTTGACGGCTACCGAAGAACCACTGATGATTGCAGGTACTCCTGAAAAATTGAAATAAACTTTATAAGGACAAGTTTTTTGCCAGCGGGCCCTTACTTTTGCCAGAATTTCGGGCCCTTGAACTATTCGCCGGTTGTAATTCTCGAAAAACATTCCGACAGATTTTTCGCAATTTCTACCATAATAAATTTGCATTGGTCCATGTTGCTAGAATTGTGTATTCTTTCTTGAGGCGGTATTTGAAATGGCTTTCTCGAAAAGTTGTTTTTGGTAAACTTTGTCCCAAGTTACGTAATCGTTTCTTTACTACTTCACAGTTTTTCCCTAATATGATAGAACCTAAGTTGCTTTTTTTGTGTTCTTTTTCTAAATATTTTTTACCTAAACTGCTGCGACCTTCACTGTTAACTTTTTTCACAATTGTTACCTAAACTGATGTGATTAAAAGAAACAAAAGCAAAAAAACTCAGGTAGATACTGAATTAAAACTGACCCCATGCAATGACGGCACACTTGTAGAAGACGGAGGAGTTGTTGGCCAGACTGGTCTCTCTGAAGCGGAACAGACCCTCCACGCAGTACCACATGAGAGAAGAGCAGATCAAGTAGTGCATGGCTGCAGAAGAGACAAAAGAGTAAACAGGATGCAATCGCCATAAACAATAGCTTGTACTGTAAGTGATAAACCTACAGAACACGTTCAAAACACCAGAACAGGGGCGGATTCAGGGGGGGGGGGCGTTTCTTTTTCTTCAGGGATTCGACCCCCTGCCAACCCAAAGGGTCCCCCCCTTTGTACTATTTTCAAGTATCCATTTTTGGTATCGGATCCTAAAAATTTTCCAAAGGCTCCTATATATTATATTATTTTTAAAATAAATATTTTTTGAAGGGGGGGAGCGCGCCGAAAAAACGCAATTTTTTGGTCAAAATTTTCCAAAAATGGCTAAAAACATTTTTTGGCCTTTTTTTAGTTTTGCCTTCGGCGTAGAAAATTTGGCCAAAACAGTCACTTTTTAGTGTTTTTGGAGAACTCGAAAAATCAATTTGGTCGACCTAAAAAAAAGGTCGACAAAATTTTGACATTTTTTTGAAAATCCGCTTCCTTCCACTCGAGAAAATCCTAGATACGCCCCTGCACCAGAAAACTACAAATATTGCCGATGTGTATGTGAAGTGGGGTAAAGGGAGGGGAGGGGTAGTTTAGCTCTCGAGATTTTTTTATGCATTACTGAAAACTGCTTATAGCGATAGTTGTTAGATTCTAACGTCTCAAAATAAACCAAGCGAGTTCCTGCAATAACCAACTGTTTTATATTAGATTAAAGTTTAAGAACGCCCGCGTTTTATATTGTTGATCCTGATTGCCTTGAAGTTACACTTTCGGAACACCTTAACAATCTGTCCCGGAAATCTTGTCGGAAGAGGACAGATTGAGAAGGTGTTTACTTTTTTCAATTTTTGTGCAATTTAAACCAATTTCAAAATAACATGCTGCAAAAAAAAGAAACTTTCATGCTCAACCAATTATCTATCGTGAACAAACTTGTTCTTCATACTTCATCTCGTAATATCACGCTTTCAGCTTTAATAAAGCGTAACATATCTTGGAAATCAAGAAAGGTGCAATTTGACGATGCATGTTCACTTGTTCCAAAAACTTCGAATCAATTCTTTGCATCACTACATACCAATGGAGACTAAAGAGCAGAGGTCAAATGGGTTTATCCTGTCCTTGATTGATGCGAACATCATGGAGATGTTCAACAGGAGAAGGGAGACACTTAGGTGGACAACCACACCTGGGGCCACATTCCGACGAGCACTTCTGAAACCAAAAAAAAGCAATGCTCATTACTGTTTAACGACCCCAGATTGCTTTTTTGAAAATTGAACAACTTTGCTTGAATTCGGTTGAAGCAAAATTTAGCTAAGAAAAAGTTCAGTTTCAATTCATTTTTAATCAAATTTTTATCAAACAATTGAATTGAAATAACCGAAAAACCCCTAAAGTTTTTTATTTTGTTACAAAAAAATTAAAATACAAAGTTTTCTACAATACAGATTACTTTTTGGCTTGAACAACTTTTACTATCCTCGCAAAAAACCTAAAATATTTTCCAAATTGATTTAATTGACGGTTATTATCTTATTGCTATATAAACTAATTTTTTTTAATGGATACTCAGTGAAACTTTTTTTGAAGGATTTGCAAAGAAATCAGTTTATTTTACTTGATTCTGAGATGCATTCACTGAAATTGGGAGTTTGTGAACTCAAAGTTGATTCGAGATCCTATATTTTTTTTGAATTTTGAGGCCGTTGGATTTAAGATCAACTCCTGCAAGACCGCAAGTTAGGAACGTCCAACCCAATAGCTAGTTTAGGATAAAGCTATTCAGCTATGTTTATAAAATAATCAATACTGCTTGGCTGAAGTCTATTTTAGAACCTAGTTAACCTAGTTAAGTGTATAATTGACGTCTTCTCATTTAAAAACTTTTCTGAGATGTTAAATTGGTTCTACATACCTGACAATTGCGTATGTCACTGCTAGGAGTGAGTATGCAATACAAGCAATTCCACAACCCACAAAGGGTAACACAGAAGGAGGTGCCGCTCCTCCCAATCTACCAGTGTTCATCTAAAAGAAAGCAAAATTAGCCGAGTTTTATTTTAAAAGAACATTTTGGCAGCCTCAATGCTTAGTGAACTATTCTTCTGCACAAAATAAGCAAAAAGCCTTCAAAAACTGTTCTGCAAACTTTCATTATTTTATCGTTACAGGAAACCTAATAAAAAATAAGAAAACTTTAAATAAAAAATTTGAATTTACGACATAGCGTTATTGGTGCGGGGAAGGTTCCCGCACTGACAAAATGGATTAGGATCAATTTTAGTATGAAAAAAGTTTGTTGAATAAATTTAGATCAATTTTAGTATGAAAAAAGTACGTTGATTAAATTTAGATCAATTTTAGTATCAAAAAAGTACAAAGATTAAATTAAAAAGATGAAGACTAATTTGAATCGATTTGAAATCGATTTAAATTGATTTTGAGTCCCAGTTAAAAAAATTGATCAAAATTGATTTTAAATCAATTTAAATGCATTTCTTTCAGTCTGAATTTATTTTTATTTTTGAGGGGATTAAAACGGATTTAAATCGATTTAAATCGATTTTTTTATTCGAGATTTATCAGTTTCGAATTTTTATTGCATTTACTCACTGCCTATCTTTTTTCATTTTACATCCATAGCGTTTTATAGCATAACACAGACCAAATAAAAAGACCAAAAAAATCGATAAAATTCTATGATATTCTTGTATATTTTGAGTTCAGAAACTGATTTATATTGACCCTCTTCTTGATTTGTTTCATAAGTTTTGCCCAAATTCTGATTTATTTGCATAATTTTCTATGATTTAATTGCATAATAATGAAATCAAATTTTAGTTTGTTCTGACCCTTTTCTTGTTTGTTACATAGGGTTTACAATAAATTTCTATAATTTCATTGCCTATTTTTGATCTTAAAATCTGATTTATGTGGATCATTTTATTGAATTCTTTAACATCTGTCACGAGTGTTTATATTTAAAAAATCGAGATTAAAAAATTCCAACAATTTTTTAAAGGGTATGTTTTTTTCGCCATGTTAGCAAAACAAATCAATTTCAGTGGGTCTGAAAATCCATCAAAATTGATTGAAATCGATTTTTTTGACACTTAGATTGATTTAAAGTTTTCAAAAAGATCAATTTAAATCGATTTGAAGTCCATTTAAGTTTGTAAAATGTACATTGTTAATCAGTTTGGATCGATTTAAAGTCAATTTAAAATCAATTTAAATCGATCCGAAACCATTTTTGTCAGCGCGGGTTGTTTTTTACTCTTTGATGTTTGTTTTTCGGACTGGTTTTTGAACTACTTTTGCAACTGTTTTTTGTTTGTATGAGACTGCTTTTTTTACTTTGATATGATTTTTTGGATTATTCTGTACAATACTGTTTTGTATTGAACTTTTTTGTACGGACAAGATTAAAACATAATGCGTTTGAAGCTTCACTGAGGAATGAAACTTAAAAAAATCAAATTAGTTGAAAAATCAAACAGACAAGAAATACGAGTAAAAACTAATTTTAAAATTTTTTTTCGTAAATTTTCTTTCAAATTTGGCGTCAAATAACTGACTATATAAATTATTTTAATTGCGTTTTAATTAATTTTTTTTCAAATCTTGAGAAAAAAACTCATTTTTTAAGGCTCATCGTCTGAGACTGCTTTTTTCACAAAAAAACTTAGCTCAACCATAAATCATGATGTTCTTCAAAGTATGGGTTTTTATCATCCGGCCCAATTTCAATAATTTTTGCAAAAAAAATCAAAGCGCGGAAATCTGATTGAATGGGACACAAGTTGAACCTTTTCGGTTAAATTCTTAGGCAGATCTGCATTTCATTCGAGTTGATTTAAGAGCTAACTAAACTGTCTTTCCAGCGAAAAGTTTAAAATGGGTTAAATTTGCTTCGCGCTTTTTGCTGAAATTCGCACTTGAGAACCAAAATATTCTCGGATCCTCTGATT